CCCACACTCAATTCAAGAGCAATGCATTCAAATCACATGCGTGCAATGGGATGAAATCACATGCGGTAGCATTACAGGACCAAGGGCATACGTGTTTTAGGGGAGGATGTAGCTGTTCGGTTTCAATTGCACCTATTTCACGCTTTATCTGCAGCCACTTAACTTATGAGCAAATATAGAGGCAAAGAATAAGACATCCAACCCAAATATGAGATGCATAAGTGGATCAAATTGGAATATAAGAAAGAAGTATGTTTGAATCCGGCTATCTTTTTTGCCTTCGTGCTTTTAGTGAAGTATCGTTAAGCGTGGTGTCTTGCCCTGATGATGTCCGTCATATGACAGACGAAAGCTCAGCAAAGATTAATCGGGATCGCAGGGAAGTGCGCCGAAGACCTATTCGCACGAATCTACAACTACATCTCTAAGGCAACCCGCCTACAGCCACCAACTTACGAATGCCTTCCGCTCGCCTCTTCAAAGGAAATGAAAAGTACTCTAACATGAATCTATTAATGGATTACAAATAGATTTACAAATCTTTTTAATTCGCAATTTTAAGCAAAAGAGATGTTACACCACTATGAAAATGACCAACATCCTAAATAGTCAAAATAAATGTTTGATAGTGATTGGAAATTACTTATAGTTGTTGGATGAGATTAGGAATACGTTGAGCTAGGGGAAACAGGAAAGGCTGTTTAAAAAGGGGAACAATTTAATTAACCAAATCTTAAGATGACTTTTTCATTTAGCAAGGCTAGGCTATAAGAGGTAGGTATCATCACAATGGGCCACAATTCTTGGTCTTATTGAATCTTTTAAAAAGAATATATGTGAATTAAAAGGGTTTCTAAGAGTTTACCTATGATTTATTGTAAAATGACTTTTCATTGTGGGTCCTGATATTACTGTCGTGTCAGTTTTCGTAAAGGATAGGTGAATTACTGGAAAATGAGACATCAGGACAACAATAATGCCAACTTACACTCCCTTTCACTCGCCTCTTCAAACGAAATGAAAGGTACTTCATCCTCGCACCACGGCTTGGATTCATCTCAATCACAGGTTGGTCAACTTAAGACTTTTTCAGCCAAATCAACATTCACATCTCTCAGGATAATACATTTTTTTATCTAAACAATTTTACGAATACCTTTCAGCACTAAATTCGAAAGTATACTGACTTAAAAGTTGTTTGACGAGTTGTACTGTGGTGCTAAGATTGGCAGGGCTCACTGACGATGCCAGCAAAACATCTTGGAATCTACCAACTCCATGGCCCGACTTTGGAAATTATCATGCATACTACGGACTCCGGACAAGTTGAGTTCATATAGATCTTCCTGCTAATATGACCAAGGTCTCATGACTTCTATACAACTAAAGAAGACCGTGACCATACAAAATGCCACACCATCCTAGTCTTCATACCTTCGATTATATTAACTTAAATTTATTAGCATTTTCTTCCAAACTTAACATTTCTTCATATTTCTGTTATCATACTCTCTCTCCTAGATTACTCGGTCCTAATCTATCCCTTCAGGCTATGCATATTTTAGATTATCCTCGTGATGATGGGGCTGTATCTTCATTCCTGTCAGGCCATTTTCTTGTTCTCAATATTTTCTTTTAGATCTTTTTTCTTTATTTGTGTAATTACGGGTATTTTTGGTAATTCACTTTTGCGTTAAGTCTTGTTTCTTCTACTAGCTCTTAGTTTTATGCTTTATTTCTTTCTAACTTTCTTCTTGTTTCTGTGTTCAGGAGCTATCATATGCCTGGATGAATCGTTAATTTATTGCCTTGGTAGAGTTTAAAAATTTTATTCATTATATTATTCCAGATAGAATTTGATTTAGAGGACTCTATACACACCTATGGGTAATGTGGAGTCTTCTAATTTCCTACGATAAAACATTTTTAAATTTATCATATGATCTTTCATAAATATTCAATCTTCAATGATATTTAGGGCTGGGTTAATTTTTTTTAGCGGGCTATCTTTTTCAACCTTAGATTGCTATTCATTAGCTTTTAACACGAGCTAACCGAATGTCAATTCTGCAACACAATCCTCTCTTAGTTTTATGGAGACAGGCACATATTAATATCATGTGCTATCAGGTGCTTACTCCTGTGTGTGCACTTCTGGATTATACATTTTGTCCACAGTATACTTTTAATCCACCACATTAGCAGAGGCTGGTTTACTTCCTGTTTCGTCTTTTTATCATCATTAATCCATCTTGCATAGTGCTGATTATGGAAAATCTTTAAAAAATACACTAAGTATTAATACGTTATCTTTTAACTATCTTAATGTTTTTTTCTTCATATTTAGTTATTTAATTTTATTTCAAACCTCTAAACTTCCATACTTCGTATCATATATCGGTCTCTTTTGTTCTCATATTATATATTTGCTATCTTTATCATATCGATCGTTTATTCTATTTTTTTAGATCATCGTATTAATCCACCACAGAGATTAATCACTGGCACTTTTAATATGGACAGGTCTGGGTATGCTGGCCTCAGTGATACACCAACCTATTTGACCACCACTGAACACGAGAAGGTTCGTACAGAGCGCGCACATACTAAACGATTTCTTTTCCAGCATCAACAAAATCTCCTTCGAAAACCGCACAGTCCGAATGTTGAATTATCACTTGCTCAACAGGCCTCGTCCGTCACTCGAGACTTAAGCCGGATTCGCTTATTCGGCTCAGATTTCTTATCATCCATTTCCAATATTTTAAATATCGCATCCTCGACCAGCTCTAATGCCGGAACCTGTACAACAACTAGCTTTAGCAGCTGCAGAAACACTATTTCTAACCCATTCCGCGAGTCAAACGCCCTTTCGACGAGCACACAGGCCGAGTCTCCCCAACATATCGTCTTTGTCCGTAGGAGCGCCTCTTCAGCCTCTCATTTGGCTGAAATCAATCAGCCGGCTCCTGTTATAAAGTCCTTAAGCAGGCCTGTCCTGTTGGAAAAAACACATTCAGGCCTTCCAAAAAATAACTTCTTATCTGATGAGCACTTTCAAGCCCATGATGCTTGTTATCGACACCAATCCCAGCATAACTGTCAGCAATTCCAGCATCATCTTGAACACCATCACCGATGCCATCACCACTGCTCTCATCCCACTCAACGTCACCAATGCCACCATAGTCAGCCTACCGAACAACATCAGAGACGTTTGTCTCCTTTGCCTTCAGTCCCAGTTCCATCAGCCACTTCTCGTGACTATAGCCTATATAGCCAAAATCATTCAAGTCCTTATCATATTTCTTACCTTCCACATTCACCTTCCATATCCACTTGTCCTGGGCTTCCATCAGACAGCTTTCCTCCTGTCCCTCTAATGCGCTCTGACGTAAATATGAATTCTCGCTCTGGTTCATTTCCTTCATTATCCTCTTCTGCTTCTCCCGGTAGTCGCTGTTTCTTCTCCAGTTCTTACTCCTGCCATTGCTACTGCTGCTACTGTGGATGCGACTGCCTCCGGGGACTGTCTACCGAAATACAAAGTGGGATATCAGGCTCTCATAGTTACGGAGCAGTTGGCTGTAAGGGCTCTTGCAGTGTTGGTAGCACTAGTTGCCTTGTTCGCATCGCCCAACAACTGCCGAAGATAGTTGTTCTTCAGGCTCCAAGTGCCGACGAGAAGACTCTATGGTTAACGCAGCTACGTGCTCGTGTCCACTCAGTTCTCCGACGCTCCAATACCGGTGCTACAGACGACGGAAGTGATAGGAATTGGCCTGGTAATAACAGGAATTGTGGAGGGGGGAGTAAGGCTGCTATCAGAAATGAATTGTCTTCGAATGATCTGTCCAGTTTGGGCATAGTTAGTGCGGGTGATGGTAGCAGTTCTGCAGCTACGGAACAGCGCAAACGGTCGAGCAGGGATATATTCAAAAGCAAGTCAACTTCCGGGCCTATTTTTACGCGTTGGTAGGTCATTTTGATTTTTCACGTTGGCTTTTATTTTGAACTGGAATATGTTTTAGGTTAAGTTTTTCCGTCTCTCTGATATGGAGATTTTCCGAATTTTTAGATTATTCTAGCCTAGATTGAGGATTGGCTTCATCTCAAGACTTTCTCTTTTTACCTCGATTGCTACTACATAAACCTATGTGGTTTTACCTTTTATTTCTTCCTGAAAATTGTGCTAAAAGGATTAATTTATTGGCTTAAATGAAAACAGTAGGAAACTTGCTTTTTACCTGTCACAGTTGATTTATGTCTATAAGTAATCCACTCAGCCTTTGCATTCCGATATATTTATGCAGAATTTTCGAATGTCACATGACAAACAACTGAGTATAATTCTTTCTCTTAAGAATCTCAATCGAGTACCAAGTCAAGAATCATGCCCGGCTGTCATCCAACTTAACTCTTATACTCTAACTTGCCACTGAATATAGCTGTCCATGGTGGCTGCTTGTTTTATGCTTTCCCTACATGTTTACAGATAATTTAAATTATAGATGTAATCTATTTGGCTTGCAGATTCAGACAAAGAGACCATTGCATTTTTTTGTGCATGTTGGTTTGGTGTTATTATGAACTATTCAGGGAATCTGTTACAAATGGATTATTTTGATAGAGTAGTATCTAAAAGCTATTCCTAAAGTATTTAAAAGAGGAATTATAATTGCTTAGATCCTTTTTTCCATGCTAACGAGTGCTATATTTCTAAACTATTTTCAGAGATAAGTTCATTTTAGATTAATAAATATAATTGTATTTCTGCGAGCTAATAAATCATTAGATTTAATTTGAGAAATTAAGAATTTTACGTTTTAATTAGTGTAAATTAACGCAATGTCATACCGTAACCTTTAATAAAAGTTCAGCAAATTTAGAGGCTAACTGGTCAATCAGTAATTCTTTTTATTGAATTAGTCTCGAGACTATCATTAAATATTGATTAAGAACTTTGGTCTCATAAGGTGGTAAACGACTGATAGTGGAATTTTTCCCCAATTAATCGAAAATATGCCACAATATCAAATTTTGCTTAGCCTCACTTCAAAAGAAGCATTCTTCTTCAATGTGGATTGCAGTTTCGACTTCGATAGGTCCAATTTGTACACACGATTGTGTGTACAAATTGGATACAAGACAGATGCGGCTTTCAAGGTAAGTCAGGTATCATCCATGATAAAGTTAGTGATATTATCTAGGTGAGCTTGGCCTAAGTGAAATTTATTGACAGCATGAGGCCTATAGGTAGCATTGTTGGGAAATTCAAATGAGCTTCTTATAATCTTATTCCATTTTGGGCGACTAATGCTCACTCAAGATATGTAATTAATCCAATCGATTATAATGACAAAATACACGTTTTCTCATTTGCAAATCATATGGGAGAGACCAATTTTCTATCGACTTGGTTTATCTTAGCTTTAGTATTATAATGTTGTACTACTTTAATTATGACACGTCAGCTTGCGTTGACTTTGACCGAAGATGCATACCAGTAAGCTCAAACTACTATAGATCATATGAAATCCTCCACCGTATTGTGATAAAATCGACACGAATCTCTGAATCACATTTTTATACCTA